TCGTCGTCGTCGTCGTCGTCGTCGTCGTCGTCGTCGTCGTCGTCGTTATCGTCGTCGTTGTCGTCGTTGTCGTCATTATCGTCCTCTATATTCGCGTTTTAAAAATGCGAGAGGTTCGCTTTAAAATATTCAAATGGCGTAGACGTTGAGTGCGTGTCCTCTATCGATCGTAGGAGTGGTGTATTAACGACGAAGGCACCGAAGTTACACGAAGGATTTTTACAATACTCTTTCTCTTTTTTTTTCTTTTTTCAAAAATTGTCATCGCGAAAGGGATTATTGCAGTTTATTGAATTATTGAAACAGATTCGAATTTATTTCTTAGTTAACCCAATTATCAACTAAAACTTACAATCCAATTATATCTTATATATTAGGTATTTTAATGAAGATTAGTAGACCGCGCGTGTCTCTTCGTACTTGTACTCGTATCCAACTATCATGAAAGAAGAGTATTGAACGAAATTATTTTGATAATCGAACACCTTCAATTATCACGTTGCCGCACACTTTTAATTTGACGATCGTGCTTAGAAATACGAAGATCGGACGGCTATAGCCGTCATTTGCGGCAATGGGTTATTTCTCGAAATCGGAGTTGCATCTTGAGTTACAAGCACAGTTTATTCAAAAAAAAGGAAACATACATGCATGCGTCTACGTCTTTTTACCTAACCGAGATGACATCGATGTTAAAACAGTAAATAATAACAGCAAAAGCAACGTAGTAGTAGCAGTAGCAGTAGTAATGGCAATAGCAATAGCGGTAGAAGCGATGTCTTTAATTCCGAGTTCTAGAGCATGTGTATACGCGCGATGGTGGCAGAGAGCGTGGAATTCGAACGTGTGCGTTCCGCCTGGCAAACGCGCAAACGCGTGACCGCGTCCATGAGGACTTGCCATTAATCCGGGTTCTTAACCGCGCGCACAGGAGTAAACGTGGCCGACACGCTGGTCCCCCACAAATCATGATAATAATAAGAATAATAACAATAGTCAGAATAATAAGAATAATAATAATAAGAAGAAGAGAGTCGCTGCGTGTAATTTATCGTCTTACCTACGTCATCGGCCGTATGACGTGTATAGTTTTGCCTTCTTACTCCACCTCCACCTCCTTTTTTCAATTTGTAGGCGCACGTCTGATAAAGAAGAAAATCTGGCTATAACAACAAGAAAGAGAGATAGATAGATAGATCAGTCTCTGCCGTTCGAAAGAGAATTCGGAAGCGAACTTGTGAGTGAAACTGCCCCCTCGTGGTATTTCGGTTTTATCTGCTTCCCGATCCGCTGTCGACGACGACGCCGTCGACGCCGACGACGACGACGACGAGGACGAGGACGAGAACTCCT